CAAACGTATGCCTAAAAAGGGAAAATGAGTGTTCCAGGCTCCCCACATGATTTACTTGGGCTACAAGATTGACACCCGTTGGAAAATATAGGGAGGGCAATCAAACGTGTCCCGGCGCTCACGTTTGTCCAGGAGCTTAGGTCATTTATGGGTCTGGTAAATTACTATGCAAAGTTCACATACAACCAGGCATCAATCCTGGCACCACTGCATCAACTCCTATAAAAGGGTCAGCCTTGAAAATAGTCTCTTTAGCTTTTGATGAAGTAAAGAAATAATCATAACCCTCTGCATTGTTACTCTATGATCCTAAGAAAGATCTGGTATTGACAAGTGATGTCTCCCCATACAGCATCGGAGTGGTATTAGCTCATAGGTGGCCCATTGGAGAGGAATGCCCAATTGCATAAGGCAAACCCCTGGATGCTAAGAGTAAATATGGCCTAATAGAAAAGGAAGGATTGGTGATCATACCTGGAGTCAGAATATTCCATCATCATCTTTTATTGGCAAAGATTCATGATAATCACGGATCACACCCCCCTACTTGTTCTGATTAAAGAGGTTAAAGCAGTGTCGCCCATAGCTTCAGGCTGCATTCAGTGGTGAGTTCTAATATTAAAGTGTTTATAATTACAGATTAGAACTGTCCAGGAGGCCAAGTAGCAAATGCAGAAGAATTGAGCCACCTTCCATTAGCAGATATACCACCCATGGTACTCCCAATGGAACAGTCTGTCATGACATTGAATTTTCTGCACACACTCCCAGTCACAGCTGACAATGTCAGGCTTTGAACACAAAGATCCAGCAATTTCAAAACTAAAACAATTGGTACTAATGGGGAAAACCAAAGAACCATTGCAGCCAAAACTAAAACCTTTATGGACCCGACAGACCAGCTCACAGTAGAAGACAGCACATTGTTATGGGGAGCAAGAGTGAATGTCCTGAGCAAAGGGTGCCATCAAATACCAGTTGAACTCCACGAGGGTCATCCAGGGGTTTACAAAACGATGTTGGCGAAGAGTTGTGTCTGGTGGGCCAGGCTTGGACATAATCTCTTTTCTGAAGAAGAGTCCCGACCCAAAACGTCAACTTTCCTGCTCCTCTGATGCTGCCTGGTCTGCTGTGTTCCACCAGCTCCACACTCTGTTGCCTGGGACACAATCACAGATGCTTTGGTGGGACAGCACCCAGAGTGTTAATAAGGATGAAAATTACTGGCAGCAGCTTCTCCATATCCCCAGGAATGGCCAAGTAAACACTGGACTCAGTTGCATGTTGACTATACCAGTCCTTTCGTTAATTCAATTTTTTAGTCATTGTATACAGCCACTCAAAGTAGTTGGACATGCACAGATTCCATTTGTCAAACACTGGAGGGACAACAGAAAAATCTTTTGCAATACAAGGAGTCCTGGAGCTATTGGTTAAGGATAAGGGACCATCGTTTACCATCAGGGACTTTAGTTATTTTGTAACATCAAATGGGATTCGACGTACAAGAACAGTTCCATACCACCCATCATCCAACAGCCTGGCAGAAACAGCAGTCCAAACTTAAAAGTAAGGCCTGAAGAAACAGTCTGTGCTTCATGGTTCTTGTTCGATTTTGGACCACTGGGATGGCAGAGTTGCTAACAAATGTAAGTCTCTACACCAGGCTAACTCTGATCTTCCTGGACCTGGGAGGGTGAAATGGCATTAGCAAGTCCAATGCCAAACACAAGACTCTGCCAAACAAAACAGACAGCTTGATTCAAGAATTATGGAAATAGCCCCACATGGGTAAGATGTACGATTGACACAAGATCAGGAACAGTGACTTATAAAATTCAGGTAGGTGCGACTGTCCTGAATAAGCATGTGGACCATTTGAAAGCTGCAAATTTGCACAATGTGTGGGAACAAAACTCTCCCCTCAGAGCCTTCACAAATACTGATGGTGCCCCCTCTCCATCAAACATTATCAAGTTGTCTGGATCAGAGATGGACATGGTGGAACTAGCCTTGATGTTTCTGTCTCTGGAAGAGGAAGCGAAAGTCTACCAAGGTGCTCCAGACAAAAGAGGCAAGCTCCCGTTCATTACACGCCTTCCCCGTCAGATTCAGATGGAACCTGACCACGTGTTAAAACACCCCAGGAGGCTCTCAAAGGAATCAGACCTTCCCGTCTCTATGAACTCAAAGGGAGAGGAATGTAGTGATTGAATGAGGTGAACCAGTTCAACCTACACAGAATAGGAGCTTCCTGATTGGGGCTGTAAATCTGGTCCAATCACGGAGCCCTAGCCAACATAAAAGAGTGAACGTCAGGGATATTGACGCTCTGAACCTATAAATAAAGGGTGAGTGGTGATGGGATGTCAGCCTCTGAAGAGTTAGTTGAGAGAAAGGGAGGGAGAGAGAGAGAGAGTGAGAGAAAGAGAGAAAGAGAGAGCGCAAAAAGAATGCCAGGGAGGATTTGTTTTTATTTATTCATTGGTATGAACATCACTGGCTAAGCCAGCACTTACTGACCAGGGCAAAAAAAAAAGAGAGCAGGATAAACAAATAAATGGATAGGGTGCCATTCCAGGTCAGTGAGAACCAGGATGTTGAGTGAATGGGACTGGTACAGGTTTGGATGCAGATGGTTGACTTTTGGATGAGTTCAAGTTCATGGAGCGTGCAAGGTGTAGAGATAGCAGAAGTCAAAGGTGAAAGTAAACATGTCCGAGTTCTTTATGCTATTGAAAGCTCTACTCTAGGTTAACTAAAACAGTAAAGTTACAAAATTCATTTCAGCCTCGGAACGGTTTGCAGCGTAAATACAGTGGCGTTGTTCTTGCCAGTAGTTAATGATAGGAAATTGTCTGACATTCAGCACAGGATGAACGAAAAAGAGGGGTAAATCAGATGGTCAACAGCTTGAGTGAGGTGGCAGTGTGGTTGAGCTGCATCAGCATATATGTAGAATCTTATAGGTTTCTAGATTACAATGCCAAGGAATGGCGTTTACATCAGAATAGAAATGGGCCAAGGACAAAACCTTTTGCAGGGGCAGAGTGGGGATGGAGTTAGGTGCTCTAGAGCCAATTGTACGGGAGTGGGACAGAAAGTCATTGTAGGTGATTCTCTGGCTACAGCTGGATCGAAAAGAATGGAACAATGGTATACAGTCAGGTCCAAAATTTATAACAGAAGAGGGACACTGCAGGAGGATGACATGACCAATGGTGTCAATGGCTGCAGACAGGTCAAAAAGAATAAAGAGAGATTGTGGTAAATAATCAGAATAGTACAATATTGTATGTGTACTTAAGGACTGTTTCAGTACTGTAGCAGAGGCTGAAACCTAATTGCAGATGCAGTCAGGAGCTAGGCATATAGATATTCTGAGGAGTAAAAGCTGCAGTTCAACAGTGTAGGTGTTCAATAATTAACTCAGTGACATCAAGCCGTTACTTTGATTGATCAGAGATATTGCAGTGACTAAGCAGCTATAAAATGGCCTATGTCTGTTGCAGATAGCTTAAATTTGCCAACTGGGGTTAAATTTATGTGACAGTCTACTCGTGACAATTATCACAGACTTTTAACCAAGGACATTTTTATAATAGCAATCTTCAGGTGAGATAACAATAATGATGTGCTAACTCGAACACAACCACAGATCAACTATTACATGTCTGTACAATTTTACAATCATTTACATATAGGTTTGAAGCTGTATAATCACGTAATTTAAACTCCCAGTAGTTGCTAAGATATCTTTAAATTTTCCAAAAAAAAACTTTGGATCTGATTTTTCTTGAAGTACATAAAAAGACCTTTTTTTGTCAATCCTCATTCAGGTTGTTTTGTTCCAATTAGCAGGCTCATCAATATTCAGCATGCAAAGCAGCAACAATTGTGGCACAGCCTCCAGCAGACCATAACAATCCTAGGTGTGACAACAAGGTGCAGAGCTGGATGAACCCAGCAGGCCAAGCAGCATCATAGGAGCAGATCAGCTGATTTCAGCAGGGATTGCAGCATAGTTCCTATAGCTGGCCCCATTGTTCCTGCATGTGGGCATGGATGCTGATCCATTTACTGAGCCCTGTTGGAAGTACATGTGTGAACAATGAATGAGAAGATGTTCTAGTTTTGTTGTGATGCCCCATTCGGTAAATAGCCTGTCATCATTCATTTTCTATCACAGTAGTGCTTTGGAGAAAAACATTAAACCAAGGCAACATTTGTCTTTTCAAGTCAAAGTAAAATAAATTCACTAACAATATTTGATGTGGAGATCTTGGCTAACTCTATCAACACCACAAAAATCAATCAATTGGTTAATAATTTCTGCTACTGGTCGTATTACTTGCCTGCAGCAAGAGTGACAATGCTTTAAAACCTGATTAATTGGCAGAGAATTCCCTTAGGATCTCCTGAAGATAAACGGTGTAAGACATAAGCAAATCTTTTGGTGGGCCACTAGAGTCCAGCACAGGAACCTGTACACATGTAGAAATTTTTGAGGAAAGGAGGGGAAAATCTGCCAGGGATAAAATAAGGACACTGTCAAATAGACACCCCAGCAACACTGGTGTCCTTAAATACTTAAGTATACCAAATATGATGCCAACGTAATCCCAATGCTATTAGTCCGCATACACGCAGCATGCTAGTGATAACATGCCTCAGGGAAAGTAATTTGGGTCTTTTATTAAATTTTATTTGTTTAATTTCTAAATAATCCTGTCTATGTCTCTACCATAGAACAACAAACTAGTACAACTTCAAGCAATTCATTTCCAATGTTGCCAATTCTGAAATCAAAATTAATCAATTCCTTCAGTTAGTGCAGCAAACAGGTGCAACCTTAAACAAAAACAGAAATAGCTGCAGACATTCAGCAGATCTGGCTGCACCTGTATAGAGAAAGCAGAGTCAACTCTGGTCCAGTGAGCCTTCACAGAACAAACCTGCTGGGTTTCTCCAGCTATTTCTGCTTTTGTCTTTTATGTTAGATGTAGCCTTAATTTTGTATTTTACTTCATCAGGATTTTAGTTACCTTATTAAATTTCATATTAGGCAAGCCCTTTAAAGTATAAGAGCAATTTATGTCAATTAGGTTTTTCTATGCATTAAAGGTTTTTGAGGCACAAAACTTAAAATAGTGCACAACTGCTATACACAATGGTAGCTTAGATGTTCGCCAAAACAGTGTCTTTAAGGGGTCAAAGGAAATAATGTAGCTACTACTTAATATTCCAAACGTTTATCGAGAATTTTTTAAATCGCTGATGAAGAAATAAACATTTTAAGGCAGCTTTTCGTGATGCATTCTATTTTGCCTTCCCCTCAGTGATCTGCTCTAACAGCCTCGTGAAATTTAACATTTAAAATAATGCCCAAAGCCTCCAATTTAACGGTAAACTCATCCAGGTTCGCCTGCGTGAATCAGGATATTCACGGGAAATTGAAGCAGCGTTTAAAACTAAAGAGGGATTTCCAAAACAAAAAGCAACAACTCATGCATCAGCATCCACTTCAACTAGACAACCACAGAGCTTAGTCATTGAGATTCACGTACAGCAGCGTTCACGTATACAGCTCAGCTCAGATACACTGCAACCTCTCTAATCCCACTCGCGGAGAAGCAGGGTCTGAAGTTATTGCGATGGCGACAGTAACATCGATGCCAAAAGGAGAAGGGCAACACAGAGACCGACTACGATCAGACGCTGACAGGCACCTCTTCCCACGGGGGCGGGGGAGAACTAAGGGAGCTGCAGTGGGCAGCGTGAGATTGAGGGCCCGGGTGGGTTAAAAGAGAAAGAATAAACTCAGCATCTGTTGGGGAACGTTTATAGCAAAGAACCGACAAGGGAAATTGAAAGAGGAGGATAAGGCCGAGCTGTCAGGGCATCGATCACCCACCCCCAAAGCCGCTACCTCTGTAATCGAGGCCGGGGCCCCAGAGTCCCACAGCCCGACAACCCCACTAACAGATCTACGCCATACTCACATTCTTCCAGCTCGTCCTGTGGGTCCTCGTAATACAGGGAGAGGCCTGGGAGGGAGAGAAGATGGAGGTTTAAAAAAAAGGAAGGTTATTGAAAGGCGCTGATAAAGAGTGTCAAAAGAGCTGATAGCAGACTTAAACCTGACATACCCGCCATCTTGGATAGATCTGGGGGTAGAGGGGAGGGCAGGATACCCACTTCCGTAATTAAAGAAGGAAATAAATGAATGCGCCAAGCGCAGCGAAACGCTTTCTAGCAGCCATCTGTCAGACAGCTTATTTCGAATCAAAATTAAAGCAGGGTAGAATTATTTTCAAATCCAGACAGATGATCACGTGCCCAACGTTCTGGACCCTCCCCTCGGGCTTTACGTTATCTCATAGGATTAAAAACAACGTGTAGACTCTTTTAAGATCTAAACAGGAATCAATATTAATTCAAGGAATCACTTTTCAAAAATATATTCGAATTGCAGCACCTTGCGGGTGCGTTTGGGTTGGTCACGTGACGGTGGCTCAGCAAGATGGCGGCGGCGGCCCTGTGGAGGTGGAGGTTCGCTGCGGTTCATAGTGGCTGAGTCTCGGCCTGTTCTCCCTTCGTTAATGCAGCTTTTTAAAACTTTTTTAAAAAAGTTTTAAAAGGTGATTGCTCTGTTTCCCTTTCCCGCTTAATTTCCTTTCGTTTTTTTCTCCTAAATGTCCTGCTGGGGATGTGTGTGGATTTCTGAAAGCTGCCAGTTTTTTATGCCATGGCTTTGAGGGAGCTGAAAGTTTGTCTGCTTGGGGTAAGTGGTTGTCCCGGTTACAGCCGACTTGAGGCAGTTGGAACTATCAATGTTGGCTGAGCAGCTGTTAACGTTTTATGTTTTGCAGTGTTGGATTTTACTGTGATGACTTTGTGTAGTGGGTTTAAAAAAACAAAACAATAAAGGAATGGAGAAAGTGCGCATGTAGGAAATCTGAAACAATAACTCAAAATGTTGCCAACACCCTAGTGAACATCAGAGGCGAGATAAAAACCGAAAGAACTGCGGATGCTGTAAATCGGGAACAAAACAAAGTTGTTGGAAAATCTCAGCAGGTCTGGCAGCATCTGCGAAGAAAAAAATCAGCGTTAATGTTAACGTTAACTCTGATTTTTTTTCTTCGCAGATGCTGCCAGACCATCCGAGGCAAGATAATAGTTTGGGAAGTAGTCGCGTTTGTAAATGGTTTAGCTAGAGTAAAAATCATAGTTTCATGTTTTTGTTTTATGGGACTTGTATGTCGGCCAGCGAATGTTAAAATGAAATAAATATTTTATGTTGAAAGAAATAATTGTGGACTAAATACTGAGAGAGAAAGCTGTTCTGTCTAAATCTCAACAGTTAGTGGTTATGATTGTAAGATGGACTGTGATTTGTCAAAATTCTGAGGCTGTGATAATTTAGTGAACTTAGTAAAACATATAACTGGATGCTGGAAATCTCAAACTAAAGGTGCTGGAGCAACTCAACAGGTTTAGCAGCATCTGTAGAGAGATCCCTTCCGACGGAGGGTCAGTGAAGTTGAAAGGTAACTATTTCGCGCGCGCGCGAAATAAGATCCGAAGAGCACACGTCCCGACCTACCCACTACATCTCG